CTCAAGATCAGATTTGAGAAGTTAAAAAAGAAAAATAAAACAGATACTGACAATCTTATTGTTAAAAATGCTAAGCTCAGAGATAAAGTTACAAAATTGGAATAGAAATAAATACAAAGTGATAACATACATGTATTAGAAGATTCTATTCTCTATGAAATATCATCTGATATTTCTTTCAATATTCATACATACTTGTTCAAGCCTAAATTATTAGAAAATAAAAAGATCGATGAGTTTCTGGATTTTAAAAGTAAGGAAAGAGTTAGTAGTGAGATAAAATAATGCAATAGAGAGAAGAAGTTTTAAGATCAAGATTTATCTTTAGTTAACTATAAGAAAAAGGGAATAAATAAACTCTGAGAAGAATTATTCAATACTTCTTTAGAGTCAAGTTCACAAGATTACTCTATATCAAAAAATATTAAATCAGGACAGATTGAAATTTCTGAGATGATCTATTCCAAAAAATTTGAGGGCATGAATAATTTTGCAAAATATATTATTAATTCATTCAATATTAATAAGGTATCATAATATTTAGCTCAGTTATATGATATAGCTATAGATGTAGAAGATCAAATTTCAAAGACTAATCAGAAAGAAATCATGTGCTTATCTCTTTATAATAGGAATTTTAAATTTCAAGTTGATGAGTAGTAAAAATAAAATTGGTAAGAAAAAAACAAGAATCTTAATTTATAATGAAATTAAAAATTAACTCTGTATTCTTTATAAAAAATAATTACAAGATTTGAACTTATAAATTCTAAATATATCACAAGATATCTTATACAAAAAAACTCAAAGAGCTATAAAAATTTATAAGTTATTTGAAAAGATAGATTTAGATAAAATTAAATATATTAAGAACTATAGTGCAAATTCTATCTCAGAACTTACTAATGATCAAATTCAAGAGATTATTAATCATAGTTCAGAGAGTCAAATCTCTAATTCTCCTTTACTTGAAATCATATCTGAAGATAATATAATTGAAATTTCTGGAATAGACCATCTTGAAAAGATTTTATTAGAAATCAAGATAAATGTATCATCTGCATCATGACCAAAGAAAGATTTATCAAAAGTAGAGATAAATATGCCATTCAAATCTCAAACTAAATCAAAGATCTTACCTGAAAAACTGAATAATCTGATCCATGATTATGCTTATTTTCATAATAAGATAGTGTGAAGATATTCTAATCTATATAAAGAATTTAGTAGTAAAAAATTTAATTATTATAAGATTCATGAGGGGTCATTATGCCTAGTGTGCAAATAAAGTCATGAGAAAGGAAAAAGTATAAAAGATAGATACAAAGCTGGATCCTATTTTATTAAATATGGATAACAAGAAATTGAAATAATTATGTAAGTAAATAATTACATAAATCTGATCAAGTAGATAGTAATATATTTTTTTCTTGACAGCTACGTGATTTTAAATTGACTTGCATTAATATAAAATAATAACATGTCTTCTAATACTACCTCTAGCAAGATATTAACGGATGACTATTGTAAATGGCATGCTAATTTAGTTGATTTATCAAGTTTTCAGACAGATAAAATTTGTTCTAGATTATATAAAGCATATATAGAAGAGACTGAACTCGATTCTTGGATAAAGTCTGAAACTTCTGAATTCTCATAAAGTAAAAATGCTGATAATTATATCCTACAGAATAGTTCATTAGAAACTCAGGTGAGGGTACCGCAGATGAATGTTCTACCTATATCACCTAAATGATAATTTTCAATTTCTATTATACCTAAAGATCCATAATAACACATTATTAAAATGGTATTAGAGCGATTTCCTTATTTAACTTTAAAACATAGTTTTAAATATAGTAATTATTTTGATTTTAATAGATTAGTACCCTGCCCTTTATGTAATAAAAACCATAAAAAAGAAAATATAAGAAATTATATAGAGAGCGAATGGGGTAGTGGTGAATATTGCGATGAAAAAACTTATCATCTTAAATGTTGGGGAAATAAATATCAGAATTCAATCCAAATAGTAAGTATAAAAGCATAGTCACTGTGTGGTTAAATAACAAAAATATGACCCAAAATCGGGTGAACTTTATTTATTGCACTTTTTACGTAGCAAATACACAACATATATATTTAAAAATTTGAGGTAAATTGTTGGGTAGCGGACGTTTAAAGGGAGGAAGCATCTCGAGCCCTAACTCATAAATGAGAGTTCCTTTCCCTACCCATCATTATAATCATTATCATTATTACTACTACTTCCCATGCTACTAAAGTAAGTATCTTTCTTTTTCCCTTCTTTCTCGATCCAACTCCCGATTTTGTCCAACGAAGTTATTTGCGAAGATTTTTGGTGGTGATAAAAGCTTGCAAGTGTAGCTGGACTGAGTCCAATTTCTCCAGATATAGCGTTATACATTTTTGTGGGAGAGCGTTTTTCTCTTTTTCTTCTCTCGTCAAATAGGGCGATAAATTCGACCCAGAGAGTTTCGGTTTGAATGGTATATTCGGATCTGTGGCTTGTTGCGGATGCTTGCCCTAATTATAGAATACAGGTAATGAGTTTCGCTCCAAATAAAATATGAGGAGTTACGTAATTGTTGCACAAACCTCCACTTCGGGCTTCACTTTTCCATTCCGCCTCTGTGCGCATTTTATTTATTTCGTTTTGCAGAGATAAAATATCTTGTTGAAGTTTTTGTATAGTTGGATCAACTGGGGGTGTAATTGGGGTCGGAGGTGAAGATGTTGTTTCTCAGACCGAAAATAATAAAATTGCGAGAACAACGTAGATAAATACATTTTCCCTGGCAATCGCGTAAAGCCACTCCATTGTTAAAAACTCACGGGCATATAATTCGCCGACCATGATTACAGCGACGAAAATTGAAATTAAAAAATATCAGATGTGCAATATGGCATTTTGTAAATGATAAATTGGTTAATTGATTGATTTATAGATTGTTTGTCACGATTATGTAGCCAAGCTAATAACTGTTTTAATAGAGATTTATTTCTTCCATCGATTTCCTCCTGTTTTTATAATCAAGCGTTCACTTCTGAGGGCATGGCATTGGTTCTTTAAATCTCGTACTAAATCGAGCAGTAATGTACTGACAATAATACAATTATATCGATCTACAGATTCGCGCATCATAAATCCATGGCATTGGTTCTTTATTGATGGCTAGATTTCATACTAATTAATAGCGATCACAATATACGATTTACCGATCAACCAGTTATCCTTTATATTAAGGTATTGGTTCTTTTGTATTTTCATTAATCAAGATAATAAAATCAGCTATTAATAGCGAGACTAGTGGCAAGTTACATATTAACCCTCCAACTCTGCTAATCCAGCATTTTGATGCTTCGTGAATGGTGCGCATTTTCGGCCGACCTCTAACTCTCTCAATATATTCATTTTAAAACATTAAAGATATGATTATAGCACTACGTGTCTGAAATTTTAATTATTGTATAATGAGTTTTGCTGACATATAAGAGTATTAAGTCATACCGGGAAAATAATTAGTATACTAATACCTGAAATAGATTCCACATGCCTGAAATAGATCATGCAACGATCATCCCTAAAAATGAATCTGGTTTTAATCATATATATCGTACCAAATCCCTCGCCTTTTCGCAGTAACTGCTCAGGTACGTAAGTGCCATTGTTCCACAATAAGCTAGAAAAAAGTTAGATAACATATAATAAACAAATTAGCTAGCTATACACACCTGAACACAAACTTGTAAGTGGACAGGATATATTATTCTCTATAATTGATAAATATATCAGGTCTTAATATTCCTATTATTATTGATAAAAAATCTAAATCACAGAAACTCATTAATAATAGACCAGGATATGATATGAAATATATAGAGTCATATATCTACAAATATTTTGGCATTAATAATTATCAACAATTCTTCGATAAACTCTTTGAGATCGAAAGACAATATGATACTTTATTTATTATTTGATCCAATGAAACTTCACAACAATAGGCTATTCGGGTCAGAGTTTCTTTACAAGAGCTAGTTTCTGAAAAGAAAAGAAGTGTATATCACATACACTGTTTATATGGTGGATTTGAAAATTCTAAGCTAGTTAATCACGACTACTACAGATCTAGAATTCACAAAACTTATATAGTAATTTGTCTTGATTGTTGGAAATTGATTCAAGTTAATGATATGAAATCAAAGAAAGTATATGCTTCTGCTATTTACAGATATATTGAAAAGATTGAACCTGCAGATTTGATGAAGTATCATTAGGATCATGAATGTAATAATCCAAAATCTCAAGATGAATATGCTTAAATTATATAAACTGCTTATCACTGATTCAAAGAAAGAGTACCATCAAATACACATCTTGCTTGATTAAGTTTACCAAATAATAATATTTCAGATGATGAAAAATTTCTAGATTTAACTTGATATCAAGTAAAAAATTCTCAAACTCAAGAACAATTTAATCAATAGCATATTAAATGGATTGAATTATATAAAAACAATTCCATGATGTGCAGTTTCATTATTAATAGACAATATAAAGAATATTATATTCCAGATAATTGGATAGATTCTAAAAAGAGTCAATTATAAGTTAGATTCCAAAAGTAACTTTTAAAAATAGAAGCATAGTATTTTAGTCTTTATTTTATTATTCCTGAGACTGATAATATTTTTTACTTTAGTTTTTATATATGGTTATTTTACCTGATACAAAAAATCTCTCAGTACAAATAAATTATAGAATTTATTTATTTTTTCAATATCTACTTCAACTTCAATCAGACTGGATACTGATAGCTATTTCATTTGAGAATAGTAACAAATAAGATATTAAAAATATCTATCTCAATTTTAATCATGTCTAGATATAAACATCTTCTTAATAAAAGTGGTGAGTAGGATGTACTTATATTACTATATTAATAAATAATGGAAAAAATAATTATCTCATCATTATGAATTGCATTTTATTATGAAGCAGACTATATTGTGAAATAATAGTACTTATATGTCTAGGTGATGAATCAATATTTGAAGCTACTCATTAGAAAGATCAAGAATTTGATCTCAATCTTTTCTTATATATAAAGAATCTTCTTTTACTTTGATTAAATTGATAATAATAAATTTCCTATCTTGCAAATTTTTATCAAGTATATTGATAATATCATGTCATTTTTTTGTATATTATTAGATGATATTAATTAGTTTATTATATGTCTTACTGTCATTAAAGAGAATAATGTAATTGAGATTTTTTCTTATTAGTTTAGAATAGTCAAAGTTCTATATTATATACACTTACTAGAAAAAAGTATCGATAAAAATCTTGATATAATATAACATGCAAAAAAATATATTAATTTTGATAAGCTATAAAACAATAATACACTAGCAAACTTTTAATAACTTTTATATTGTTATGATTAAAAAGTGTTAAACTTTTTAATAAATTGATTAATATTATGTTAGATTTTCTTTACTTTTAATTACAGTTTTAATTCTACAAGATATGCTTTCTATTAAATTTTCTGGAAAATTTAAATTTAATTTTAATCATTCTTCCTTTATCATAATAGTTAGTTTATGAATATTTTTAGGTGAAATCTTTTGCTAACAAATTTCTTTTTCTAATTAATTTCAAACATATTCAATTAGATTTAAATCTGGACTCTGTGTGGGTCATAAAAATGATACTATCATATTTTCATCCTTCTATTTTACAGTTTTTTTTGTTATATGAATTAGAGCATTATCTTCTTGAAAAATATATGTAATTTACTCTAAGTTACTTATAAAAGGTAATAAATTTTTTTCTAGAATTTCTATATAACTATTTATATCAAGTTTATCTTTATGAGTACTAACATTCTGAATTGATTATTGATAAAATAACTCTATATCATTATATCACCTCTCCTATGCTTATAAGTGAGAACTAAGTAGTCAATAGTATATTTTTCTTTTGGCTGATGCCAAATCTTTATGTGAGCATTATTTTGATATAATGTAAATTGAAATTCATCATTTCAGATTATAGTTTTCCATTCATCAACTCACATTTTTTATTCCTAACATTATTGAAGCCATTTTCTATAATTATTTTCAGAAATAAATAGTTTTCTTTTTCTAACATGACTGTGAAAATCAGCTTCATAAAGATAAGACTGAATAGTTCTTTCAATAACTAAAATGGCTAAGCTTTTATCCATATATTGAGCAAGTTTGTCAGCTATAATTTGCCTATTTTTTCAAACTTCTTGAGCTAAGTAGCATATATTTCAATTGGATATTGATCTTGGTCTTTCATTTCTAGGTTGAATTATTATTTTTTGATTATTCTGAAATGTATTAATCATATAGGTAACTTATAATTATGAAAATCCAAGAGTTTCAGCAATTTCACAGATATTTTTTTCATAATCTCACTTAAAGATGGCATAACAAGTATATGATGCTTATTTGTCACCTGTTATAACATGTTGCAACTACAAAATTTTATAAGTCACAACTAGTTGCAACTAGATGATGCTTTATTTATTATCATATTACAATAGTTAAGGAGCCATCTTTAATCTCACTATTCAATCACTTTACTTCTTTCAAAATCTGTAAGTTCTCTATTTAATGACATAATTTTTTTTAATATTTTTAAAATTCAGAAGCTATTCTTTTGATAATTAAAAAAACTTGATGAAGTTTGATAAAGTACTTGGCTCATAAATATACTTTAAAGATTATCAAGTTAAACAAAATTTTGTGTAATATCTAGATTTTGTCAATACTTTTTTCTGGTAAGTATATATCAAACTAATATTTTTATGCTTTCTCTCAGTAAAATAATATGCTATTTTATCTTGTATTTTTTTAAGTTCTGTACATATATTTTAAATATAATTATTATCCCTCTTTCAGGAGAGAAATTATCAACTTTTGACATTTTATCAGATTTTATTACTTGAAATATAATATCTTCATGATATAGTTTGGGCTATTTGTAATTATTTTATAATAATCTTAGAGTTATTTATACTTGGACTCATTAATTTGATGATCAATCAAAATCAAATCATTATTCTTAATATATCTTGTTTCATCTTTTTTCTTATTAAACAATCAATATATTTTATTTTCAAGTAAAAGATTGATAACTTCATTAGTTTTTTCTGATCTTGTTCATCCACTAACTAATAAATTAAAAGACTATTAAGATGTCAAATTAAGACCATTAAATCTCTCTATATTTTTATATTCATTAATATTTAAAATAATCTTCTTAACTAGATCAAGTTTTTCTATTTTTATTCTGATAATACTAATTATTATATTAAAAAATATTGATTCTTATTATTATATATATTCACTTGATTTTTTATTCTATATAATAGTCAGTCTAATAAATATGATATAATAAATTACTTAAGACTCTCTAATATTAATGCGTGAATTACTACTTATAAGGGTACTAATTATCTCATCAGTAATAGAGTTACATTTTTTGAGATCAAGACTATGTAGATTCTTACATAATTAAATAATTTCATGAATTAATATATTAGTAATAAAGCAATTTAGAAGAAGTAAAACTTCTAGTCTTGAATATAATCTTGCTATTTCACAGATAGACTTATCAGTTATATAGCACTAATCAAGATTAAGATATCAGAGTTCTGAACATAATTATACAATTTTTTTAACTGATATATCACTTACTTTATAACCCTCAAAAGAAAGATTTATAATATTTTGACATGAAGTAGTAATCATACAAATCTTTATATCAGATATTCTCATATAAGATATCAAGCTCAAATATTAGAATCTGAAACAGAA